AACGTTGGGATACACCACCAAACGGGAAATGCGCTGCAACAACGAGGTGGTCGAATGAACGAAGTTCAACTTTAGGGCCCGACCATCCCTCGTGTCATCGTACCGAAAGAAACACGGATAGGCTTTCAGGACGACTTTCAAAACGCCCGAATCCAAAGCTAACACTGCTGAGCTGGGATTGCGGAGTACTCCGTATAGGCACTGCAGCGCGAACACTGCAATGCGATGGATGTGTTCTGAAATCCTGCTTGGGGGACACTTGGGGTCGATCTTTCGCTTGAACATCACTGTAGAAGCGAGTTTTATTAGGGCTGGAATCGTTTGTCCGACAACCGCTGGGTATCCGAGGGGGTTCTCGTCGCGATCCCTGCCGATGTCCCCGACGAGCAAAGACATAAGATTTTCCACAGCGGACAGCTCGTCATTCGAAGCTCGGGGGATTTTCGGGATGTGAAAGTTGATATGACGAACGAACAGCTTCCCCATTCGTTCGTCCAGGGCGTAGACAACGTTGCGGGGTATGTCAGCGCGAGATATACTCGTAAGGCCGGTCTCAGCATCATCCACCAGCTCTACGAGTAGTATATGCAATCGAGACCATGTCGACCACGTCCTATGACACTCTTCGATCACCTTGAGCCACGTTTGAGTGAATAGAGGTCCGATGTATGGGGTCGTACGACTCAAGGAGCGTGGGTCATCCTCACGACCCGGCGGCCCAGCTGCCGAGAGGAAGCAACCGGGGACACACATGAGAATGTGATCCCACACGGCGATACCTTCCGCGGTTGAGGGACCCTCGTGGTCTCCGAGAATTATGTCTTCGAGAAGTACCCTCACCCATGGACCAATAAGAGATTTCCAGCTGGGTTGGATAACAGATGTCTCGTAGCTTCTACTGAGTGCACCCATCACCTGTATTGCTGTCTGGATATTCGGTGGGGGGTTAGAAATATCAGCGAGGGTGATAGAGGGCGGCTCTCCGAGTCTGCGAAGCGCATCGAGCGCGCTCTTGGCCTTTGGGAATCGTCGAAAACAGTGCAAGGTGAACTCGAGGTCCACTGGTGGCAGATATGCACGTGGTCCCATTTAGTGAGAGCACTGTGAGTAAGAAAGATATAGTCAAGCCGATGGAGGTATAGGAAGGAAGCTCAGGCAGTAGTCCTTTCGGTGATGTGGTGGTGGTTGAATAGTAACCCGTACGATCGAGGATTCCCACAGATTCAGAGTTCGGCCGATGTTCGACCACGTGCGTTACAGTTCTCATCAGGTGATTCTGAACGCGCTCGTGAAGACCATTTTCGATCCAGTGTTAGCCGCTTGAGCAGGCCGAATCCCAACCAAATTTGATGACACTTGTGTATTGTATGAGCTATGAGTCTAAAAATTGAGATTCGACAATGCAGATTCCCCACTATAATGTCGTTTAATGTTGATAGCTCAGTTGCACAAGGACTCAGTGATTATCAGAATTAAAACTACCTACACTACACCCAGCGGTTACCACAGATCTACCATAGGAGGTAATACTTGGGCTATCGCGCTCTTACCTTGGGAGCAATAGAGGCACCTAGCCACTACACCCCAACGGAGTACATAAAACCAATGGGCGGATTTACTGAACTTTGAGCAGTCAACTCGAGCCTTTAATCAAGTTGCGAAGGCGAATCATCATATTTACAAGCACCGCCAAAAGTGAATACAGAACCCCGGTATGTAAGAAAACATTTCAAGTTTGCGATTGACGAAGTTCCGTTACAGGGAATCAAACCTATGGCGGTCCGTACCGGACAAAATGTTTTGTTCTGGGTTTCGTTTTACAATGGAATTTTCGCTTGATTGAGGTGCGATTTCGTGTTAAATCCCTGTGAATCTGGTTCTCGTTGTCGCTTAGGACTTCTGCTGGCATGGTGGTCGTAATGATCACCTGATACTACCGATTTAATTTCATGTAAAGGACCCTGAAGTTGATCGGCTTTTCCCGCTGCCTCCCCGTTTCCCCGACGCAGTTGCCCTCCCTTCCATGATCACCTATGTAGTTAACTTGATAGCCTTGTATGAAACAGTGGGGTTATTAGACTAACTATTACTACTCGGTGGTCCCCCTAATGCGCCGGTACTACTAAAATACAAAGATACAGGCTAGTTACCACTCCAATATCCTCAACTTGAAGACACACACTTAAGGCCACGACAATCCGGCGGTGACTGTACCTACAGGTGGCGATAAAATGGTAAGACTTATAAACTGAGAAGCATACAAAAACGTGAAGTTTGGCCCGCACGTCTTCAAGTGAACGGGACGTTCATGAGTCTGGTGCCACCGTAGACCCTCTGGGTCCGGCGAGCGCAATAGACAACCAAGGTGTTCAAGGGAGCCCGTTTGGTGAGGTAGATGAGGTCTCTAACGAAGGTGAGCTCGGTGTCGGTGATTTTGATTTGGTCGTAGATCTCACCGGTGGTTGCCTAGGTCAAGAGACTTGAGGCGAGCATCACTGGCACTGGTGGTCAAAGCGAAATAGCTATCGTCCCTTTCAGCGACCTGGTAGCAGATAGCATGTATGATACAGATAGAATATGGACCGTACCGTACACAAACAAATTTGACCAGTTACAGCGGTACAAGGGACGCCGCCTGTCTATGCGAGCTCTAGTATCACCATTAGCACTATGACGGTCAACAAGGCAGCGAGCCTTGCGATGGTACAGACAATAATGATGACAAGCACATCTGTGATGTTTAGACGAGCGACGTTGAGGTTGAGATTGATTTGTTATACTAGTAGCGGCGCCGTCCACCATGTTCAAGAAGGTAGCAGTGATCGGTTACAATATTAGTACTTTATACATGTGCATATCACTAATCCTTGATTGGCCCTCGAGGTGAAGTCAATGTATGATGTATTGCGAGGTAATGTCCATGATTGGGTGGTGGGCAAGACTCGGAAGCTATCAAGGGAAGGGCAACTGCGTCGGGGAGGCAGCGGGAAAAGCCGATCAACTTCAGGGTCCTTTACATAAAATCAAATTAGTAGTATCAGGTGATTATTACGACCACCCTGCCTATGCGACAACGAGAACCGAATTCAAAGAAATTCAACACGAAATCGCACCTCAAATCAACGAAAATGCCACTGTCAAACGAAAACGAGAACAAAACATTTTGTCCGGCGCGGACCGCCATAAAACCCCGGGCTATCGCGCTCGCCAATGAATCGAGTTGGGAACTCACTGTTTTTGAGTTTTGGAATCAACCCATTCCTATCAACTCGCCAAATTGTGCTGTTCACAAACTTGCAGATAATGTGAACGAAGGCGGGTAGGAACTAGGATTCTAGGATTGTATCTGCAAGCCTGTTCCTGTCTTCGGAGTCTTTGCACCGTCACCACTGACGCGAGGAAAACCAGGGTAGTTTAACCCCAAATGCCTCTTGGGGGAGAATGGGCGGCGGAGTCTGTTCGGGTTGAAGGCTGAGAAAACCCAAGCGTTATATTCACGAGTACCGACCGGTGACCGGCGACCGAAAAAGAACCCTGGTATAGAAGAAAAAAAAAAACTCAACACTACTGAAGTTCCGTTACAGGGAATCGAACCCTGGGCTATCGCGCTCGCAAATTTATCAATGGTAGATTGCCCATGCAATGAGAGGCGATAATGTTAGCCACTACACCATAACGGAGTTATAATGAGTCCGTGTGCGTGGGTATATATAGATAGGTACAGTTTCAATTCGTGAGGACGGACACTCTAAAGCCGTTGGATTTTTTTGGCATTTGCGTCACTTTGGTGCGGACAAGAAATATAAAGCTCGAGCTCTGTGGGGTTGACCGTTGACTATAGGGAGATTTGGAAGTCTATGTGATCCTGGCCCCTTGGGTAACTTTGGTTGCAAGGTAAAATGCATGTTGACGCGAGTTTGTGTGTTGAAGCTTCAAGGATGTTTAGTCCGAGTTTTTATTTTACTTTGATTCAAGAGTATTTCGAAAGGCTTCGTGAAGGGTAAAGTCGGAACGGTATATGTACTCAGACAACAAACCGAAGTATAACTCCCTGGTAGTATATCGGTTAGTACACGCGCCTGTCATACGTTTGCTGAAAGTCCATGCTAGTGTACGCGCGAAAGCTGGGTTCGACTCCCAGCCAGGGAGATCCCTTGTAACGCATGTCTTTTTCTCCCTTTACGAGTGGATATTTCTTATCGTTTTCCCCAGTGTCTTCGTAGTCCAATCCTCTCCCAATCTCTGCATACGATTGAGCTACAGGACGAGAACGCCGCCTCAAACGAACGTCTGCCTGTGTCAAGTGCCGGAGCTGGCGCCGGCGGCAAAGTCTTGTGACCAACGCGTGAACGTGACCGTTGTTGTTGAATTCTCGTTCGCCAAATCTATTGTTGGCCATTGACGGTCATCATCATCCACCAACCAACCAACCAACCAACCACGATGGTTCGGGTACGTCTCCATCGTCTTTATACTCACCCTCCGCGATAGTCCTAATCCCCTGGTTATAGTCACCACGAATACCCAACCAAGACCTCAGTCTACGACATCTACCCGATTTATCCGCATCGACAGAAGAAGAACAATCATTATCATTCCAAATCCCCACCAACGACGACGGCGGGGAAGACGACTCGTACCTCCTCTCTCATAAAGACGACGACGACGGGGGTGGATACTCGTTCTTCCGAGGGACCAACGGAGAGGAATATAGCGTGTTGGGAATGGGAGCTACGCCTATGGTACCGCCGTCGAAGAGAGGGAGAGATGTTTTGGTTGATTCGCCTAGGGGGAATACGAAGACTCAGACTCGGACGTATTCGACGCCGCATCGGTTGGCGAGTTTGAAATCTGCGATAGAGGGGTGGGATGATGAGGTTCGTGGTTTTCCTTTTTCTTTTCTCTCTCTTTTTCTCGGTGTTTGTGCTGACTTGAAGACGCAGACTCCGTTGCTTCCAACCAATATGAACATGAACCAGACAGAGCTGATGAACGTGACTATGGACTTGGACACCGATATGGATACGACGGCGGATAGTATCAACGTCAATACTGGTATGGCGGGGAGATTGATGATGTATAGTCGGCAGTTTGGATTTGGCCAGCCATCGTACGTATCGTCTTGTGTACGCCTCACCCCTTGTTGATGGTGATCTCTGTTTGGGTAGGAAATCCCCAGCGAAATCAGCGAAAAAACCTAGTACCTCGTACGTATTTATATTCGTCCTCGAGTTTTTCAAGGCGCTGACTCGAATGGTACAGGAAATCCCCAACCAAGCAAGAGAAGCTCACAACGAAGAAGAAGATATTCGGTCCTCCTCCAACGACCTCCCAGCCAGAACCCTCGTCGTCGTCTTCGTCTTCCATACCACCTATCTCGAACACGAACGCTCATCCAGACCCAGACCATACACCCGTCGATTTCATCCCACACCCGGCTCTGACGTCCTTACCGAGCGCAGGCGAAGAGAAACCCTCTCTCGCTGACACCCCCACCGACCTCGAAGCGCCTCTTGACGTTGTACAACCTTCACCTCCGCCTCAGCCGCTCTCGATACAAGACGAACAAGTCGAGCAACCTGTCGAAGCAGAGCAGCCGGTAGCATCAACTACGGCTTGTGTTCCATCGTCGTCACCTGACGCTCAAGAGAAAGAGAAAGAGAAAGGGAAGTTGCAGGTCAAGGCCAAGACAAAACCGAAACCAGTGGCAGGGAAAGGGAAAGGGAAAGCACCTACAACGTCGATATCCAAATCGTCACTTGCTCCCACGACTACGCATACCCGTTCTGCGTCTCCCCCAGTAACACCAGCGGCAGGCCTACCGTTTGAACCCGAACCTGAAGCTCGAAAGAGGGACTTTCCCCCCTCCTCGCCGGAGGAATCCCTCGATGTACTACCGCCAGCCAAACCTTCCTCCTCCTCCTCGAAACTTGCGACAGTCTCGAATACGAGAACTACGAGACGTACCCATACCCGTTCAGCGTCCAGCGTCACCGCCACGAATACGGGTGTGCGTGCGTCTTCAGCTTCTTCTTTGCAGCAAGAAGGCACGGAGCCCGCCTCCTCCTCGTCACAAGTACAAGTGCGAAAACTTGCGACGAGATCCAAGCCACCCACCACCACCACTACCACCACCAGACGTATCCATACCCGTTCTGCGTCCACGAATACGGGTGCGGGCGCGAGCGGGTCTTCTTCGTCTTTGCAGCAAGAGGTAGAGGCTACGGTTGTAGAATCCTCTTCTTCCTCTTCTACCGCTGAGGAGGAGGAGGTCAAATCGGAACCGAAACCTCCGTCTCCACCTCTCGCTCCTGAAGCTGAAGTTCCACTCACAACCACTACGACTTCCCCAGCCCCAGCCCCAACCTCAGAGACCGCTGTACCTATGTCCGAAGACTCGGATTCGGACGACGGTCAACCACACACCCACGCCCGACAACTCGTTTCTCCCCCTCTTCCCCTTCAAGAACCCGAACCGGAACCTGAAGTAACGAGAACTTTGCCGGTTGCGGTTGCGGTGACTTCGTCTCTTTCCACTGGCCCCTCGTTGGGTGTTGGTGTTGATGCAGATATCGAGGAGGAGGAGCGTGTCCAAGAGCCAGTGCCAGTGCCAGTTCCGTCGTCTTCATCGGTTGAGCAGGAAGAGGAGAAAGAGGAGACGGTGAGAGATGAAGAGAAAGTCAAGGTCACGCTCCCCCCGACTGCGACTGCTGCGAAACCGAGACCACCACCTTCGAATTCTGGTTCTGGTGGAGGTGCTTCGACCACGAGACATAAATGTCCTCCCCCGTCCACCACCATCACCGTTACAACAACAAAACCGCCACCGAAACCTAAGACGAAAGGGAAGGAGAAGGAGGAGGTCGAGAAATCCAACTCCAAATCCAAACCCAAATCCGAAGCCGGTACTGGATCTACTCGCACTCGTACTCAAAGGAAGGCTCCAACAACAGACGCGTTGCCGTCCTCCTCCTCATCAACGCAGAAGAGGAAGGAAGTGGAACCTGAGCCTGAGTCTGGTGCGAGAAAGCCGAAGAAGGCACGAGTTGTTGTAGCACCAGCACCAGCACCAACGAGGAGAGTAGCGGTAGCGGCGCCAGCGAAGAAGATGAGGGTGGTCTCTGCACCTGCACCTGCAACTACAACTGTGAGGGCGAAGGGGAAGGGGAAGGGGACAGAAAAGGTTGGGGAGAGTGTGGTTGAGGTCGGGGGTGTTCAAGAGGAAAGCGAGGTACGTTTTTTTCGTTTTGGATTGCGTTGTAACGTGTAACATCCTGATTTTGGTCCTCTCTCTCTCTCTCTCTTTTTCCTCTCTCAGCCTTTGACTTCGACATCGGCATTAGAGAAGACGGAGGAGACGGAGGAGGAGGTCAAGAATTCGGATTCTCAAGAACCACCACCGCCCACGGACACAGAAACCCCGGCTGACTCTACACCGACACCGGTACCTCTAGCTGACTCTTGTGCACCCGAACTTGAACCTCTCCATCGTACGGTTTCTGTTTCTGAAGCCCAAGCCCCCTCCTCCTCTTCGCTCTCGTTCTCTGCCTCATCCTCATCCTCTACGCCAAACCAACCACTCCCCTCACCACCGCCCCCAGATACGGATACCGACATGCTCACCCTATCACAACTCTCACCACGAAAGCCCCCCGCGTCTAAGAAACGACCCAGCGCAAGTTGTGATCGTGAAGACTCCGACGAGCTTAGGACCTCGAAACGAGCGAAGAAATCGACGAGGTTACCCCCCCTTCCTGATGCTGCCAGGGGCGGCTTGGGTGTTTCTGGGAGTAGTAATAAGAGGAGTCGAGGTGGAAGTGGAAGGGGGAGAATCGTTTCTGCACCACAGGGGATAGGTAGACGGCAGCGGCAACGGGTTCCCTCTGCGACAGTCTCAGGAAACGAGGAGAAATCGTCGTCGGAGATGCCTCCCCCACCACCACCGTTGACCAAACCCTTCGAGTTCAGTTTCCGATCCGATTCGAGGATCGCCGCTCGGAGGGAGAGGGAGAACTCGAACTCTGCTTCCACCTCTACCTCCACATCAACCCTCACCTCCACCCTCACCTCCTCTTCCCACCACCGCCCACAAACAATCCCCCTCTCAACCCACCTCCCCACACACACCACCCACCGACTCGCTCAACGAGCTGAATTCGACGCTTCCGTCGCCTTAAAGAACGAATCTAAAAGACGAGAAGAAGAGGACCGTCAACGTGCGAAGGAGGAGGAGGAGGCGAGGGAGGTTAGAGAGGTTAGGAGGAAGATGGATGAGGAGGCGAGGAGGAGGGTTGGGGAGTTGGTTGGGAGGTTTGGGGTGTGAGTCTGGGGGAGGGGGTTACTTACTACTTGCGCGGGGGCGTGTGGTGCCTGGACTTGTTTTTGTACTGTACTGATAATACATATCATACATATCTGCGTTATACGGGGGAAAAAAGGAAAAACACAAAAAATGCATTACTCCCACTTCATCTCCCTGGCTGGGAGTCGAACCCAGCTTTCGCGCGTCACATCGCCAAGCCAATGATTATTTTATGACAGGCGCGTGTACTAACCGATATACTACCAGGGAGTTATCCTTACATGTTATGGGTGGAATATATCCAAATCAAATTGTATACACAACTGGAGGAAAAATTCCTACTTACCTATAACTCCTCGCGCCTGACACCTGGATCATTCAGAAACACAATTCACAATTCACGATCACTCAAGGAACTTTTCAATAGGCGGATGGTTGTCTATCTCCTGTAAAATAAATTTTAAAAAGGCCTGGCGTCGGTAGCGGTAGCGGTTACAAAGACAACGGTTGTATCCATTTTTTCCAACTATATCGCTCTGAACTGAGCTTCGATCTTGTTCGAAGCTCAAGATCATGGCAGGCTGGTGTCATTTTGAACGGTTCAATTTTCGACACAATGAACATTGAAGGACGTGCTTTGATCACTCATCACTGTTCAGGGAGACTTTGGACCGGGAGTGGTCCTTTTCTCATCAGGAACACGCCGGGCTCACTACATTAACCACTCCTCGAGCAGTGGACTGGAATGATCGAGCCTACAGAATCGCAAGGGCCGGTATATCTCGCGATACGTACTGATTCAAGCTGGTGACTCTCGTTAACTTACTTGGGGGGAGTCTGTGTCAAGTTCCTGAATCCGCAAATTCGTGATTTCTCGCCTTGTTCCTTTCTAACGATACTACTCCTGTTAAAGTGACAACAAAAAACCTCCAATCAATAGAATCAATTCCGTTACAGGGAATCGAACCCTGGGCTATCGCGCGAATCATCTTTGCCTATCATAGGCCAATGAGAGGCGATAATGTTAGCCACTACACCATAACGGAGTTACCAGAAGTAGACATATCCCCAGCAATCTGTCGGTGAGGGAACGTGTGGTCGGCGTACATACTATCACAATTCTAGAACGATTCAGACTTCCAACACCCGAAGGACCACTGGACCCAGGACCCATCTATCCAAATGACTGGCTGTCAGTAAGCCGCGTCATGGGCGGAGGATCTGGATTTTGGGCGGCCCGTCCAGTGTCAGTGGGTACGTGGTGACAGTCTACCACTCAGTCGGGGTTCCCTACTCTCGTACGACTCGCCCGATTTGCCAGTCTGAGTTATTTCACTACCTCCGAGTCGTCATCAAGTGCTTCGCCTTCTCAGTTCTAACTTTTTCATCGCCTCCGAATCATGGAAGAGCTCTCTTCATGGCCAGTATTGGGCAATCAGTAATAGCACTGCAATATCTCGGAAGTTAACCGGAACTCCCGACCGCTCATAATCTCTTGAGATGCTTGCTGAGTATTAATTGCCGTTTGCTGTAGGGTTTTCCTAAAGTACATAATCATCGCTGCGAGGAGGGACAGGGTAGCGTCCGTCCGGTGGAGGGTCTACATCAACCAGGAACCTCTACCTCAACTCCTCCTCACCTCCACATCCACCCTCACCACCACCACGACCCAAATCCAACACTCCTCCTTCGAACCCACCGGCTCGCTCAACGAGCATCTGTCGCTCTGAAAGACAAAAGGAGAAGACGGGAGGAAGAGGAACGTCGGCAGGCGAAGGAGGAGGGTTGGGAGGTTTGGGGTGTAGTTTGGAGGTTTCGAAGGAGATAGGGAGGGGTGTGGTTGTCTGTTTCTCGTACTGTTTTTGTCGTGATAATATATACATACACATGCGATAAAGGAAAGGGAAAAAAAGAAAAAAAAAGAAAAGACAAAACTTTCGGTGCGTTCAGAACTACTCCCTGGCTGGGAGTCGAACCCAGCTTTCGCGCGTTGACATTTGCCACACAATCTACATGACAGGCGCGTGTACTAACCGATATACTACCAGGGAGTTGTCTTCAGTGCATTATGCACCCGTAAGCCAAGACTCCCACTTATCGATGACTCCTCGCGCCTGACACCTGAACGTTGAACTCTTCCAGCTCGTCTGCGCGTGGCCCCGGTAGTTTTTCTTTTACAATCGTCAATCTCAAATGTTCAATTCCACCCTTTTTCAACGTGTTTGGTTCTCGGTATTGAAAGAGTTGCCTTGATAACCGTTCAGCGAGACTTGGACGTCCTCGACTGCAACAATTGAGGGATAATCACGAGGGGCCAGTACTTATACTTGTATCTCGGCGCCATAAAAATTGAATTCGGTGAATTTATAGACTGCCGAGTTCCTGAATTCGCATTCGTGATTTATCGCCTTGTACTTAGTCTCGCTTACCATCCCTCTACAACCGGGTTCCCTTTTGAGGGTGGTTGTAGAGGGATGGTAAGCGAGACTACCTTGTACCTAAATCCTCGCCCGACCCGTTCCTTGAATCGAACCCTGGGCTATCGCACAATTAAACTTACTTGGATAGTAAATACACAGGCTCCCAAGTTCATAAATCCGCATTCTGGTTTCTTGCCTTGTACCTAGATCCTTGGACCTTACCCGACCGGTTCCTTCCTAACGATATTACTGCTCCTGTAAAAAAAAAAAAGAACCCGATAGACGCGTCAGTTCCGTTACAGGGAATCGAACCCTGGGCTATCGCGCGATCATCTTTGCCTATCAATGAGAGGCGATAATGTTAGCCACTACACCATAACGGAGTTGTTGGGTCTGTACATACTACCAGTAAGTACCCAGAGGCGCTTTGAGGGAATGTGTTAGTCGTATTATCGCAATTCTAGAGCGTAACCGCGGTCTTAGCAGAACAAGCTCCCTCTTACCTCACGTGAAGTCAAGAGAAATGCTCTATCTGCCAGCTTTTACACTTATTGATTGAAAAACAGTCAGACATACAACTATATTTAATTAGAACCATGTCAAGAATACAAAAATACAAGATCAAATTGGCTGACTACGCTACAACTGTCAAAGGAAATGAGTCGAAGCGGGTCGAATCAACTGAGTACCCAAAGTAAGCGTGAATCTCTGACATCTGTGAAAGAGCGGTACCGAGACTCACCTACGTTCCGGTATCCATCACAGTCGCGTTAATAGTTATGGGCGGAGGATCTACATTTCGGGCGGCCTGTCCTCAGGTGAGCACGTCTGAATATAGATTCAGAATCCGGTTGTGACCACTCAGTCGGAATCTGGATTCCCTACCCTCGTACGACTCGCCCGGTTTTGCCAGTCCTTACCGAGTCTTTTCGCTACCTCGACATCCAGTCCTTCGCCTTCTCGATTCTGAATTTTCAATTTATTATCACCTTGTATACTGCAGAACGTGCTCGATCCTCCGAAGCTTACAAACTGATGATGTTTGAGATCTAGTGGGAATATTAGACGAGTATGTCCGAGTGGGAGGAGGGCGACACGCTCTTCTCGACTCCTGTTAAATGTGCATGACGTGGCGTGGCATATTGCGGCGGTGTTTTTGGGCTCTGGCCATCGGACATCTGGATCTTTATTTTTGTGCTACCCTTTCTTCCCTCGAGCGTTCCCTGGAATCCCTTTTCATCGCTTTCTTCGCACTCTCATGACCTTTATTTGAACGACTTTTCTCATCTAGACTGATGTTTTGCGGTTGATGATGCTCGATGCGGCGATGCCTGATGCAGATGGTCGAGGATCCATCACATACTTAGCCATCCTGGAGTCCTCCCTAAAATTTCCACCTTCTGTTTGCCCTACCTGTCATGACTTCATGTATTGCTTCGACACATACTTTCATGTATTGTTGGGGTCCCCATCATTCAGACTTGGCGTGCCAGATCTGTCAACAAACTCGAAAGAATCGGATCAAGTTGATTGTCACTGCACTGGAATCCTGTTGTATCAACAGCGCGGAGCCGCGATTTTGTGGGTCGCACGAAGTATAAAACGTCTTGCATTCTAGTGGTGACAATGGCCCGTTGGCTCTCAATATGGACTTCATGGAGGGTTCGGATTCAGCACTTGAAACGCAACGGCGTCACCTTTTATATATCGCTGTGGGCTTACTGGCAGTGAGTCTCTCTCTGTACAACTAACCAGTACCCTCACTCGTGATGACACTACAGGTCTACCTTTTGGACATTATCCTACACGCACGAGTTGATTTTCGACTTGTGTGCAAGTCCGGGTTCCATCTTCCGCAGGCTATATATGCTACAATGAGGTGACTTGCTCACACTGTCAGCCCGCAAAACGACTTGTGCTGACCTATAAGTCAGACTCGTGAGTTTGACACTCTTGAGTCTTGAGATGGTGGTCTTGGGTGAGCCGCCTCTTCCTTGCAGCGTGCATTGCCATGAATCATTCCTTTCAGCTGCGCGAGTTGGTAGTAAGCGCTGCCGTGCCCTCCATATTGCAGTAACATCGTTGTGGAGCCTTGACTATGCCTTGATGGGGGGGCTACATCTATTACGGACCCGTGCCATCTCCTGTGAACGTACTTGGGTGGTCCGGTGCCTCTCCGTCATATGGCTTCTATCTTCCGGGACATCCATGGGGATCAGTCCTTACGTTATCCAAGGAGGTGTAATCAGCACCAACCTGTGCATGCACACTAGCGTCAATCCCACCCTCGTGCAACTTTTGCTGGGGATCGACGCATTCCAAGGCACTTGTACAGTCCTTGCAGCTAGCAGTGGCCTTATTATTTCGCCCGGGGTATACGCCACGGGTCAATCCGGATTACTCCAGAAACTGAAGGTCGCAATCCTGGCTAAGGACATTCCCACCTTCTCAAAAGCACTTCTGCGGCACGGACAACGACACTACCTGTGAGTTCATGTCTTGGCACCACCGTGACTCTGGGCCGACATTGATCTCTATTTCAGTATTGAACTGTCTGGCTGTCTGGTGTTCACTCCCTTAATGGGAATCAAGACGATTCCCCTTGCATATCGCATCGGATCCGTGCTCGTTGCTCATGTCTTTGTCCATTGTAGATCATGTTCAGTCTTCCGGAACGTCGGGATATCCAATTATCTGCGCGACGAAGGAGTAATTGACATGAACAACGAGTCTATCTCATTTAGGACTCGGTCAGATAGTCTCAATCTCAGTGCGTCTCATACCGAGAACCAAAATTCGACCGAAACAGAAACGGTGAGTCACATTCCGGGCCAAAAATCTATCCTCCCCCCCCCCACTTAACATATGTACCCACAGTCCACGGAGGGGATTCAGTCAGGAGGCAGACGACCGTATGCAAACGCGTTGGCCTGACTGATCATATCCCCTTGTCTTTTGCCCTTAATGGCTTTTTTTTTGTTTTTTAGATGTTATGTCCCATATAATTTGTTTTGTTCCTTCGTGATACTATTATGCCTTTGTAAAACACCCCCTCTTCAATGTTTTTACTTCAGTTTGATCTCTGTTTTTTTGTGACCTGAAGAAATGACACACCACATCATTGAACTTTTGACGACCTTTACCAGCATAGAGAGCCCCCAAACTCGCTGGAGTCATGATCCGGGGACTTATCCCCGAGATTGCTACCTTCTGTTATTTAAATCTGATTTGTTGCGGAATAGGATCACCAAATAGGTATGTGCTCGAACCCACAGTTATTCTTCTACCTCATACCAATACCTCATTAGCCTACCACCTACCGTGAGCATCTGATTCATTTTGCTCTTCTCATTCAAATTGCGTGATTAGTTTGCCGACTTGAGTCTGCGTCTAACACCTGGCTGAGGTGACGGGCTTTGATTGGCTTGTGGGTGAGCACAGATCATGAGCTCCTCAAAAATGTAACCTCCAACTTATCATCTATAACTTCGGGTTACATCCTTGAATTCGGCTCCAGCGTTGCAGTGATTATCCTCACTGCACAGGGGTCATGCTTGTATCCCTCATCAGATTTTCCGCATCGGAATAAACTCTGTATCAACCCGATATTCTTGCCATAAGTCGGAAATGCCGCCGCCACCATGATCATCGTTTCGTCCGCCGCAGAGTGACGCTAAAACTCGATACATACTCCCAAGTCGAACTGGGGGATGGACGGCTCGCGCAGTGTCGTCAGTGTCGTTGGGTCGTGAATTCGTAGGGAGGTATCGGGTGTGGGCGTTAATGATATGGCAAAGTTGAGGTAAACAATGGGATTCTTAAGACCTTCCGTTATAAACTGCTGATCCGTGGATAAACCCTCGAGTACGGACAATCGAAGCTTGTAATGATCCACTGCTTGTCGAATGGACTGGGTATAGAGACCAACGAAGTAGAGGATGAAGGCCTCAAAGAAGCTGGAGTCGGAGTGCGATATGAACCGCGACATTACGACTTAGATGTTCGTGTTAGTGACGGAAACGTGTCCCGAAAAGTGTAAATACCTACGTCGTACTTTCGGTGATACACCTCGGCACATCTTCTTGTGTTCTTTCCAGGATACTTTCTGACATTCCACCGAACAATAGATGACCCATGAACACGAGATATACTCGTAAGGCCGGTACCAGTGGTATCCACCACCTCTACGAGTAGTATATGCAATTGAGACCATGTCGACCACGTCCTATGACACTCGTCGATCACCTTGATCCACGTTTGAGCGAAGAGAGGTCCGATGTATGTGGTCGTACGACTCAACGAGCGTGCGGAATCGTCACGACCCCGCGGCCCAGCTACCGAGAGAAAGCAACCGGGGACACACATGAGAATGTGATTTCACACGGCAATGTCTTCCGCGGTTGAGGGACCTTCGTGGTCTCCGAGAATTATGTCTTCGAGAAGTACCCTCACCCATGGACCAATAAGAGATTTCCAGCTGGGTCGGATAACAGATGTTTCGCGGCTCCTTGAGTGCACCCATCACCTGTATTGCTCTCTGTATATTCGATGGGGGGTTATAAATATCAGCGAGGGTGATAGAGGGCGGCTTTCCGAGTCTGCGAAGCGCATCGAGCGCGTTGTTGGCCTGG